AATGTACTTGTTTTTACTATAAACTGAACTTGTGTTAATAGTGCTACAGAATGATTATAGTACATTAACTTAACTTGCGGTGAGCCAATTATCTCTCATGAGTTCAACCACATGTGAAAAGTCAGTAACTGTTGATGAAGACTTAGAAGAGTGGGAAGTTTAAAGAGAGAGAAAAAAAAAAAAATTCTGCCACACATGACTTCTGCTCTCTCGAGATTAAGCAGATTTTATGTTAAACTCTTTTCACACACAAAAAAGTTTATTCTTCTCTATTGACTGACTCAAACATGTTTGTATGTCAATGACTGATTCATTGACATTCAAACATTTTTCAAACAAAAAAAACATTCGGTTAGGTTTCACACAGATTTGTTCAATCCAATAAATAAAAAGATTTGGTTGAATGTATTTTAATCCCACAGAATTACATGATGATGGAAATTATGCAGAAATTATGAAAGTGCATTTGATTTTCAAGATTTCTCAGCAAAATCTAAACAGCCAATTGTGCAATTATGGGTCGATCGTTGATCTGTCATTAAAGCGTCAAACAAACCGGAACGCTTATGAGCTAATGCGTCAAGCTGGAACATCATGTGGAAGCATGTGTCTTGCTTCACTGTAATAAGGAACAGATGTAGGGAATGCAACAGCAGGTGCGGTTAATGGTTCTTTTCCACCCCAGGACTCCACACAATATCACAAGTTCCTAAAGCATGGGGTAATCAATCTTTTCTTATCATAGTGCCTCTTATTTTATGTGAAGTAGAGCCTCATTGACACTATATCTTTTTGACAGCATCTTTGTAAAATGTATTACATTATGAGGGATCTTTAACCATGACCACAGCAAAAACCATTCTAAATCGCTTTGAATCAAGCGTTCCCTCACAAAAATGTTATCTTATTACAGTGTTAATTGCTTCATGTCACAGAATAGCTTTGCCCTAGAATAGATATGACAAATAAATAAATAATCCCAGTGGATAGTCTTTAGCGTGTACGGTCACATTAAGCATTGTCAATAGATCTATGCCTAAGCTTATCCTATTTCATATTCAATATTTACCCATATGCTAACAGCTCTGGTTACCCTTCCTGACCCTGTTTGTGGTTAATGCATGACCTTAGCATGCTACAGTTTGTCCAGTCATTAACCTTCATGCGAGTATTGGATACAGTGGGAATCAGATCCATAAAACAGGAGGTACAGATGGGTTTCCAGATGGAGGCTGAACAGCAGAGAATCAGCTTCCATTTTTACAGTGTCATTTAGAAGATCAGACGCACCTTTCAGCGGTGAACATCCCTCAATATTTATCCGAACGGAAATTTTATTGGATTCAGAGGTTACGTGGCGTCGGCTAATGAAAATGTCTCTTTAGCCAATATTTAGATTTCAAAAACATCATTTTCTGCTGCTGTGAATCTCAGAGCAGCCCACATGGGGCCTTCAGTAAAACAGATGGACCTCTTTATCGGATGCTGAATTGACCAATTTGTTAATGAGCCCTTAAACCCATGTTGTTAAATATTTTAGAGCAAAGTGGTATAATTCAGACTAGTAATGAGTGGAGCAGAGTTATTAAACGCACTGCTTTATCCAGACCAACAAAAATCAAAGAAAAAGATTATAACGTGATATACTTATGTTCTAAATGCAATTTCCTACAAAAAAAAGAAGATGTTTGCTATTTTTGGTATTTTTCATTTTCAGAGTGGTAATCAATGTGTTCTTGAATCAGTTCAAAAAATAGTTCACCCAAGAAATGAAAATGGTGTCATCACCCTCAAATTGTCTCAAACCTGTATATTAATTTTCAGAATACATGTAACCAAACTATTACTGGCATTTAAAAAAAATATATATATAAAAAAAAGTTTTTTGGTCTGAATACTCGATTCTGATTGGCTGGCAGGTATGCATTAAAACCATTTAATGCACAGGTAGTTCCAAGTCAGTTTAATCACCGTTCCATATTAATGCGCTGCTTTAATTGATGCACACAAACCCACACATATCACTCGCACACAGACAGACAGACAGACACAGACAGACAGAATTCGCAGATTGTGCTGCGCGCACACACAAACATGTCAACGCTGCCTCACGACTTTTATTAATAAAATTGCCTATATACTAGATCGTTATATTATATTCCTCAGCAACGAGGTGGTAAAATCACTGTTTTTGAAGTACATCTTGTTTAGAGAGATGCGCAGACGCAGGTAGGCTCACACAACTGTCATCTCTTAGGAAAATTAATCATGGTTTTACTACAAATAAAAACGTCTCGGTTACGTATGGTAACCCTCGTTCCCTGAAGGCGGGTAATTTTAGAGGTGTCAGAATCAATTTCATAACATTGTCACTGATGCGTATTTGAGTGCTCCTCTATCTTTTTACACTCCTGGCTGATTTGGAATAAAAATATATTTTCCCTCACTATAATTCGAGAGTGTTTACATTGGGCTGGCTTGAGTTAATAACATTTTAGAGGGCTATTTTACACATTTTAAATATCGCATTCATAATCACAGATGAATCGCATTCGATTATGAAAGCGATGTTGCCTATCTTGTCAGTGAACTATGGCTCCGTGTATTAAATGCCGCTCCATCTGAAAGCAGGTGATGGAGATTTACTACCAATCACGGAACCGGTTTTACTGCCGAGATGCGCTTGACAAATCGCATGTGATTAATTGCACAGCCCTATCTGAACTTATTTATTTTTCTGAGAAATCTGCGGGTGGCTGGGGAGAAATAAACAACCACTTGTGGCTCTTGATGAGAGTACCTTCACTAGCAATTACTCTCTAAATATAGCCAAAGCAAATTGCATGAATTAGACCGTTTCTCTGTGCAGCTCAAAAATAATCTACCTATTATGAAGGCCACTAAATCCGGAGTGAAAATTAATTGCTGTTCAGGATCAAACTGACCACATTGTACCGACCCTCTTGTAGGTGATGCCATAAAACAAATACGAAAAGAAAACCGTTTAGTGATATTCTTAGCTTTAATGTCTTTACCTCTTAACAGTATGTGTATATTGCCTTCGGTGGAGAGGTGTGTATAGCAGAAGACAGCATTCACATAGCGATATATAGAATTTAGCTTTTATTTCCACACAACCATGGTCAGTGGAAATTGTTAAGTGACATACAGCACACATGTTGTCCCTATGGAGTAACCTGGGGTTAAGTGCTTTGATCGAGGGTAGGGTACAAGGGGCTAAAGGCCCCCTGAGGTAAAAGGCACTTTTGATTTTATTTTCTCCCGTAACACTTCATATAGCAGCAGCACAGCAACATTTTTCAGATCCATGAGGTCATGGAGTGCAATGGCAAAAGACTGACTGTCACGTAATTTGATCTAAAATATTGCAGTTTTATGAAGCTTTAAATGACAATGTTATGAAAAACTAAAAGACATGAAATACAAACGATACACTTTGTTCCTTAAAAGTATTCCCTGGAGAAAGCAATATTATGGATAGAGGACGTGTATTTTAGCCAGAAGCTTTGGTTTGAAGTTAAAAACATCTTAATTAATTTGTTTGTTACAAACATGCAGCTTTTCACTTCAGAAGACGTTAATTGATGGACTGGAGTGGTGTGGATTACTTGTGGATTATTGTGATGTTTTTATCAGCTGTTTGGACTCTCATTCTGATGGAACCCATTCACTGCAGAGGATCCATTGGTGAGCAAACGTTGTCGTGCTAAATTGCTCCAAATCTGTTCCCATAAAGAAACAAACTCGTCTTGGATGGCCTGAGGGTGAGCACATTTTCAGAAAAATTTTCATTTTTGGGTGAACTACTCCTATAAGTAGGTCTTTTAGCTTATTGTACCCCATTAAAGCACACCGATCATCCTTTGCAAAATAAACTGCGAAAACTTTTCATTTATTTTCGCATTTATTCTTGAAACAGAGATGAGCAGATAAATGTCATAGTGAGATCTTAACAGTACGAGTTCTCTCACAATAGTGCAAATAAACGCTGGGTGCACAACTCACACATAACATAAAAGACAAATATGTTAGAGAAAATGGAGGTTTGTTGAAGAAAATATCTTGCCAAGAGCCTGTGAGATAAACCCCAGACACAGTTTGCTCACAAAAGTTGCTTTATTTAAAGCTACTTTTATCAAGCTGATGCAAACTATAGGTGTTAGGTTAGTAAAATAAGACTTTTTCAATTTCTTCATCTGGGTTTCTGACTGTGGGGTGCGACGCTGCATAGCTCGGGAACAAAAGCCTTTCCTCAGTACAAACAGCAGTTCATTCGTCTCTGAAAAGCCTCTGTTCCCGCGCTCCCTTCTCAAAAGGTGCGTTTCAATAATGTGAACGTGGCTAATGGAAGCGTTCCCTTCCACATTCACATCAAAACGCTCCCAGGTAGAGCGGCTCAACCAGCACTGATGTGAGAAAAACTTTCCCAGTCTTTCAAAACAATCTACATAATTTACCCAACTCACTAGATCTGTTTAATATTGATGTGGTTTGGAATTTTGTGGGAAAGGCTTTATTGATGTGCATGTCAATGAGACAGAAACTGAGGAGCTCTGTAAAGTAAACACAAAGGTTTGGAGTTAAACATCAACACCGTCTTAGAAAGTCAGAGAAAGTATCACGGTGACATCTTTATGTTTTTAACTTGTGCTTTCTTAGAGCTGTTTCTAGATACTTTTTTGCATGTCTTGGGCATGAAACACACCTCACAATAATACACAGAAGCAAATGCTTAGACAGTACATACTTCTGTATAATCTCAGAACTGTAGGGGTCTATAGAGTTACCTTCAAATATCTTGAAAGGGATAGTTCAGCCAAAAATGAAACTTCTGTCATCATTTAGTCACCTTCATGTTATTTCAAAATGCATGTCTGACTTTCTTCTGTGAAACATAAACTGAAGATATTTTAGGGAATACCTCAGTGGGTGTTTTTGTTTTTGGTCCATACAATGGAAGTCAGTGGGCTCCAGTGTTGTTTGGTTCCCAACATTCCTCACAATTTTTCATGTTCTGAAGAAGAAAGTAAGTCATACAGGTTTGGAATGAGATGAGGGTGAATAAACTGTGAAAGAATTTTTGGCTGAACTATACCTTTCAACTTGCACTGTCTCAGCAAGCAGCTGACAGGGTTGTGCACCATCCAGAAATGAATTGAATATGAACTGAGGAGGAAGCAACAAGAATTGCAAGTGGAATTTAAATGCAGGGAAGTTTGAATAAAAAATTTTTTTTTAAGTTGTTCTGAAAAATGTTCTTAAAAATTGAAGGCTTATAGGAAAGAGAATGATTTATCTTTCTGTCATTCCAATTCAATTCATATTCTGAGGGCCTTTCCCAGTACCCATAGTCTTGGCCACTTGAGAGCGCATGCACATTGCAAAAAGTGTGCAAGACTGTCCCAGGACTGAAAAATCACATTAGTGATATAGCGATATTTCAACAAAATTTCACAGCCAAAAAAAAAAAAACTAGTTCTATTGTCAATAGCTTTTATCAAGTTGATACCAACTATACCTTCAACATACTTTGGGCCTGTTTACACCCAGGGACTGTTTCAAAAAAGACGCTAAGAAAAGCGGGGATTAAAGTCCTGACTTGAAATAACCTAACAAATCAATCAGGGCTAAAGCGGTTCCATAAAGGACTATTTAAGTTCATGCAATCTCACTAATTTGATCCAGGTTCAGGGAGTCAGGATAATTTGATGTACACGCTTCTTAAGCAGCCCTTAATGTGGATCATGGATCAAATTGATCTACCATGGCAAACAGTGAATATATTTGTGCTGTTTAATGCATTTGAGACAGTGGGCCCTATCACACACGGTGCAAGAGTTTTTGCTAGTTTCAGCCCGACGCAGTTCTCATTTTCCCGTCCTGCGCCACGTTGTTTAAATAGCAAATGCATTTGTGCGCCCATGGCAGGGCTGTACAGTGCGACATATATGTCGCACGTGCTACTAAAGGGATAGTTCACCCAAAAAATTTAATTTCTGTCATTATTTACTCACTCACATTTTGTCCCAAACCTGTATTAATTTCTTTCTTTCTTGTACTGAACACAAAAGAAGATATTTTGAAGAATGTGAGTAACCAAACAGTAGCCGTCCACACTGACTTTTACAGTAGGAAAAAAAAATTACCAGCAACTGCTTGGTTACCCACATTCTTCAAAAATAACTTTTATGTTCAACAGACGAAATAAACTAATTCAGGTTTAAAACAACTTGAGTAAATGGTGGTATAAAAATGAAACACTATGACAGAATTGAAAGACAGATGACAGAATTTTCATTTTTGGTGAACTATTTATAATTGATGTATATAGTGTATATAGTATTTTATTTTCATATTTGTTCATTCAATTTCTTGAATGTTACTGCTAAATACTGTACCTGAAAAATGAAGCACTGTTTGTTTTATTTGTATATTATGTGTATTTGTAATGTATATCTTTGTTCTTATTTTCTAATAACAAAGATACAATGATGACAAAGATTTTTATCTTTGCTCACTTTGGCCAAAATGTCTGCCATTCTTTTTTTATTTTATATTTTGTTAAGGTGTAAGAGGTGTTATGTTTCTGCACTCTTCCATTTTTAGTAAATTAAGAAAACTTTTGTCTAAAAACAATTTTTGTGATGGTTTGTATTTTTTGTGCTCTGTATGGAACATCAGTGCCTGTTTAAGTGATAAACTCCATTACTTGTGTTTGTTTTCAGACATAATAACAGACGTTTTATACTTGTGCTACAACTTTTTGGCCTGTGCTACAAAACTTTCAACCTCTGTAGCACCAGTGCTATGTGAAAAAAAACTTAGCGTACAGCCCTGCTTAATGAAGACTGGTCGTAGTAGTAATAGTAGGCCTACCACTTTGTGTATTTGGTGTAATGAAATGTGTTTATGCGGTTTAA